ATACATTAGATGCCCGGCCATGTGTCCAAGCTTGCCTGCAATGTCAGAACTCTGCCTTCAGTTGTTAGCTAAAGAATTATACCCTGGCCAGGTTGCTCAGTGATTAGAATGTCGGCCCTCAGACTGAGGGTCATGGGTTGGGTTCCTGTCAAGGGCACTTACCTCAGTTGCAGGCTCGATCCCCACCCTGATCAGGGAGTGTGCAGGAAGCAACCAATCGATGTGTTTCTCTCACATGGATGTTATTCTCTGTAAAAACAATGAAAAAAATATCCTCTGGTGAGGATTAACAAAAAAAATTTAATCCTATATAATAAAAGCCTAATATGCTAAGTGCCCAGTCATCCAGTCGTCCATTCAACCAATCAAAGCATAATATGCTAATGATATGCTAAGGACACTCAACTGCTCTTTATGATGTGCACTGACCACCAGGGGCCAGATACTTCGACCGGTAGGTTAGCTTGCTGCTCATTGGGACTGAGCAAGATGGTTGGACAATGCCTTAAAGCCCTCCTGCAGCCCCTCCCCAGCTGGCTAACCTCCCTCGGCCCTGATCATGCACTGGTGGGGTCCCTCAGCCTGGCCTGTGCCCTCTCACAATCTGGGACCCCTTGGGGAATGTTGGAGAGCTGGTGTTGGCCCGATCCCACAAGCAAGGCCAAGGGACCCCACTGGTGCACAAATTTGTGCACTGGGCCTCTAGTTAAATTATAAAACAATTAGGTAGCCGCAGTCTGGGACCCATCACTGCTCAGCAGTTCAAAATGCAGGGATAGTACCAGAGCCCCTCAGCCATAATAGCAGGGGTAGTACTACTAGCATGGGCAGTTCCTGAGGCCCTCAATCATACTCTGACTCTGCAGTAATCGAATTGAAAGCATATTCTCCTGCATGTTTGGCTAACTTTGGGGACCCTTCACACCACAGATGGTTGACGTGTGGGGTTACATACAGAAGACTCAGAACCCATGGATATGAACTACTTTAGAAATTTGGTGCAGCATTAGATTTTGGACTTTCAGAAAGAATCCTTCACCAGGAGAGCCTCACTGGTGGACAGGTATTTTCCACCACAGCTCAGAGCTGAAAGCGCTCACGAGTTTTAATAGCAGGACACACACTCTAGTGCACGTGTCAAACACAAGGCCCGCGGGCCAAATCTGTCCCGCCAGGCCTTGCAATGTGGCCCGCACCGCGCTGTCATCACTGCACTCTGCTGCGTTTCCATCACAATGACAGTTTATGACTGTTCATTAAACCATTCTGCCCGCGATTTAGGCTGGATTTTAGATTTTGGCCCCTTCTCTGATTGAGTTCGACACCCCTACGAGTGGTTTCTCATGGACAAAGGAGGAGGAAAGTGAGCAAGAAGGCAGCCATCCTTGGGGCACTGGCAGGCGAGCCCACCCAGCAATGCTGCAGGCCCCAGACCATGGGGGAGCTAACAGCAGGGGTCCTGGGCTGGGCTGTCTGGAACCTCTGGCACTGTCAGCACAATTACAAATGTGTGTGTCCTTTTCAGCAAGCAAGATCCTCAGCTCTCATCCAGTTTTCAAAGGGATCCATGAGTCATTGAGGGCAAGGAGCCCTGATTGCTAGATGGACAATAATCCAAACTTCCAAACCCGATAAAATAGGTTGGTGGCAATTGAGACAACAAAAAGAGTCAAAGGAAACAAATTAGCATTTATTGAATGTTAATTATGTGCCAGAGACTCTTGGAGACATCATCCAATCCTCCCAATAACCCTCTAAGTAGAGGAAGTATTTGAGCCCAGGTCTTGCTTTTAAGCTTCCTACTACACAACACTGCCTCTCTAAAGAATGAACATGACTGGCCATTGAAGATAAATCACAGATAAAGAGAAGCAAGCTAAAACAATGGGGAAATAAGATTAGATATTGAACAATTGTGTGTGTGTGTGTGTGTATATATATATATATATATATATATATATATATATATATATAATTCATTTATTTATTTATTTATTTATTTTAAAGAGCTTATCTACTGAATAAAGTTGGCTGATTTAGCCCAGACTATGGTCCCAAACATGTGGGATGGCCCTGGGGTGCAGCTTCTAGAGGAAATGATTTTCCTTGAGCAAAAGCTTTTAAAGAAACTGAAGATGTAAATGGATAATGTGAGCCCCACTTCACTGTTGGGTATCTCGCGGATGAGCTCTTGTGTTTATAAACCAAAAAGTTTTGTTGAACCTCTTTTGCATGTCTCTACCAATTCATGACATCATTCACTTACATATATCGTATTACATTAGGTACATTCTCCTGTATTATACTATCAATATATCTCTGCTTGGGCTTATGGATTATTTTCTTACAAACTTTCTTAGCAAAATTTAAGAATACTCTTACCATGTAACTGAGTGCTTACTTAACCAATCCCTCAGTGCCACTTAGTTGATAATTATAAATCCTGAAATCCATATTGGCCATTGCTTTGTGGAAAATATTATATGAGCATATCAAGTGAACATTCAACAGAAATGCTCACAAATTGCTAGAGGTTTCTATATTTCTTTTTAAAAAACAAAAACAAAACAGTATATATTACCTAAAACAATGCCATCATCTGTTTGGAATACTCTGTTTGGGGAGGCTGAGCAGGATTCATTCCTGTCCTGGTGTTGCAGTGTAAACAGCTTTTTGCCTGTCTTTTGTCATTAATGATCATGCTGGAGATGTAGCCAGTGCATTGTAAGCCAATCTGTCAAGGCAAATAAACAATTCACCTTGTTAAAATTCCCTAAATCTTGCATTAATAAAACCAAAGTAACCCCCTGAACACTCAAGAGATGTCTTCCTCCATACTACAGTGATGGATGACATGTCTAAAGATCCTGGAAATTAAGTAGTTCAGGTCATTAAAAGTGTCCCACACTTGTTATTGATTTAATTTATTTTAAAAGGTGGGGGTGGAGATAAGAATGTTACAGGCCCCCTCCCCATTTTTTTAATCTGAAAGCTACCACTTGTACACATAATTAAAATTATTGCTTGGGTTTTATTTGTTACAACATTAAGCTTTTTTTTATTCAAACACATATTATGTTATTCTCTTAACCTGATATCTAGAAACAAGTAGATAATCATTGTAACTCATGTTATGGCAAAAAAAAAAAAAAAAAAAAAAAATCCTTGGAGCTTCGTTTGTATGATGGTGCCTGGAACCTAGAGTTCTGGGCACTGAAATAATGACCTTTTGGATAGCCCAAAATATTGTCAGGTAGATAAAAGTTCAGATGAAGGTCAAATGATTTGAAGGAAATTAACTAAAATAGTAATGAAAGTATGCCTCTGGATAGAGGAATATTTTTTCTCTATTTTATGAATGTTTCCTTTTTTCTACTTTTATAATAAAGAAAAGAGTAAGCATTTAGATAGATGGGAGGGTGGGTGGGCAGGTGGATGGGTAGATGGGACAATATTTGGAAGTGGTAGAGTTTTTCACTTACATGTCCCTATAGTCTAAGGAAGTTTAGGTTATGTGAGTTGTCTACTTTTTTGTCACCAATTTTCTCTACTAGCCCATACTCTACTGGACTGTTGTACTCACTACCATATCCCAGTGCCTAATAGAATAGATGCAATTTGCTTATTTAATAGATAAAGTATGACCCCCAAGTATCTTTCTTTTTGTTTCTTGTTTATTCCTTAATCTTCAGCGGGCACATGGGCTGTGTAAGGACTAGTAACAGCCTCAGACAGGACTGAGATGACCCCTTTCCAAGGACTGAACAGCAGGAGGGTTGAGCACTGGTACAGAGGTCAGACTGCTAGGACGGGCAACCTATATAGTTGCTCACTCCATTCAAATGTCTGAACTGGGTAACAGTATTCTGGAACTGTATGAAATGGGGTAGCTCACTATGTGAATTAGAGCAAAAAACAATACGTGAAATTATATATATATACACACACAAGACACACATCATTTGACCTTCTTTTGTCATGTTATGTACCATATGCATCACCCTGCAGAGCTGTTCCTGATCAGCTATGTGAATGGTATTTCACCATTATTCTCATTGTTCTTTAAACAACTTGTTGGGGGAAAACAGCCTTGGTACATTGTGAAAATGACCCTTGGCAAATTATGAAAATGATCCTTGAAAATAGTTATATTAATTTCAGAGATTAATTTCATTTATTGATGCTTTTTTCATGATCTTTTCAAAAAAGGAGGGAGCGGCAAATGTGCAGTCAGTTGGAAGGTTTGGCCGACTCTTAAAAATAGATATGTATGAGAATATACTTTACAGTTGTCCACTAAATTTCTCCTTGAAATTGCATACTTTGGGTACCTGAGAACAGACATGGTTATGCTCTTTAGCAGAGCTCTATAAATGGAACAACTCTGTGGATTTGTTCATCATATAGGCTGATTTACACTTAGTGGTAAAGTTGTTACACTTTAAGTGGAACTGTCCAAATAGCAATAAATGTTAGTTGATCCTATTGTTGAAACCGGTGATAGCTATTTAAAAAAAAAAAGTCATGTCTAGTATTTCCTAAACAGTAGTGGTCTCTTGTAGCACATGAACATGTAAGCATGTGCACACATGCACACACTCCAGACCATCTTATCACTCAGGAAGGAAAGTCTGAGGTACATAGTATGGCAGTATTGTTATGTTCCTAGGTTTTTTAAATGCTCACTCTGGACTATAATCCCCTCAAAGGCAGGAACTATACCTACCTGGAATCCCGCTGGGTTGCCCTCTTAACATCTGAATAGCAGATGCTTTGTAAATCCTGTTTGGGTGAAAGAATAGGGAAAAAGGAGCATGTGCTGACATTGAGTAGTACATGTGTGGGTCTGAATTTCTGTGAAATTCTTGACGGGACCACACCTCCTATGATGGTGAGGAACGATGCTGGTAAGAACTTTGATGGATGGTTATGACTTTTTGAAATAGTTTATTTGATTGATTGCCTAGCAAACTTTCTAAATCTGCCTTCTGCTTTCACAGGCTGTCATTTTAGAAAACGAAGAACTTCCCAAACTGTTTCTTGATTTCCTAAACATACGGCACTTGCCATCTCTACCAAAGGCGGAGAGTTGTGGGTAAGCATTGCTGTTTACTTATTGGACATGTATTTTATGTTACTCGTCAATCACTTATTGGCCTGACAAATCTCCCACAGCAGGGGCAGCCTGGCCACACCCATCCTTTGGCCTGGGACAGCACTCTTGCTCGCCCCCTACTTGTAGTCAAAGGAATTTCTCCTGAGCCTTCCCCAGATTGTGGCCAGTGACCGGTGACCAGTAACTCAGGATTAGATTTAAGGACCTGACTTTTTAAATTATGCTACTACACAGAGCTATGGTACACGATGGAAATTGTGAATCTAGACATTCTATTTAGGGACTAATGTGTTTGTTTGTGCACACTTGAGCAAAGCCTGTATCTTCTTGGCACATTTATTATTTCAAAGTTATAAATGACCTTAAAGATCAATTTACACAACTTTTAGAGTTGAGCAAATTGAAACACAGAGAGTAAGTAGCTTTCTGAGATCTCTCTCCTGGAAGCTGACAGGGCTGGGCCTTCCAGCTCTCTTTCCCCACTCTCCTGCCTCTCCCCCGGGAACTTCTAAGTGGGGATGTGAACACTGACCCCATCTACCAAGGAACCAGGCATTTGACCTCATCACCCACTGGGAAGAGTTCTTCTGAAGAATTAAGTCAAAATTAAGCTACCCGCCCAGCACTGGGCGCCTGACTTGATAGGCACCTATGTTGAACTAGTCACCTAAAGTCATCAGCAACATCCCTGACACATCACCTTGGACTCTGAACCTCCAAGAGGGAAGATGGCTTTATCCATTTTCTCGCCGCCTCCAGACCTGCCTGAAAGGACCCACACTACCTACAAGACGTTCCCGCGAACCACACCCTGAGTCCTGTTAAGCCAGATACCAGTCCCAGCCCCCTTGCCGGCAGTGTTTACTCAGGGCCACTTCCCACCCAGTTATTCCCTGGCTCACCAAGCAGGATGCCTGGTCAGGGTATCCTGCTCCAACTTGCATGTGTTTACTCAGGTTTGAGGTCCATGTACGGTTGTGTATTTTTAAGAGGAGATCTTGGGGATGAGTGAGATCTTTTCTCCATTTTATAAATTCAGAAGTAAAACCATAGGATTGTTAAGTGATCTTCAGGAAAATTGAATATTGCAGTCTTAAGGTTCATGAGGTGACTTCATGGAAACACCTGAGTCTCTTCTCAAAAGGCCTCCCGACTTAGAGCTTTAAGAATACTGACTGTTTTTTTTTCCTTTGTTGGCATCAACCCTGACCTGACTTATATGGTCTTTTTCTTTTCTTTAAAAAAATGTTTAGGTCTTTTGAGGAAACAGAATCTGAAGAGTCAAGGTAAGAACTAATAGTAGTCAGTTAGGAGTTATGTAATATAAATCCAGGAAAGGACCGTGGTTTTGTTAGGTGTTACCATGGTATAAGTGTTTCAAGTCATAATTTTCTTTGTTCGGAAATTGATTTTGAGATGATAAACATTTGATAGGAAGGTCAGGAAGTGACCAGTTCCATCCAGGAGTGACGGAATCGGAGCCCTCCATTGTTACATGCAAATAATAAGTATGCTATTCTTACCAATAATCATACTACTAGATTAAAAAAAAAAAAAAACCCACCCACACTTCTCAGCAATGATTTATTGTCTGGGTTGTCCATCTGCTTCAAATTCCACAAAGAAATGTAGGGAAGAAGCACGCCGCACGGGTCTGTTCCCTCTACCCCTGCTGGCTGTTCCTCGCCCATACTGCTAGATACATAAACCTTGAGACGTCCCGGCACAGCAGTTTGATCCCCTCAAAGCTAGTTTGTAGTGTTTTCTGTTTACCGTCGTCCTCTGATGCTGACATGCCTGTTCTTGACCTTTCCAGCAAACTGTCCCACCAGCCGGTGCTGCTGTTCCTCCGGGATCCATACGTCTTGCCTGCAGCCAGCGGTAATCAAACCTGTCATCTGCTAACAGCTCTTTACTGATCTGACCCTGCACCACATAAACCACGTTTTTAATACAGGTCTAAGGGAGTGACATTGGTCCGAGGCTTAATAATCTGCCAATAAACCAGTGCTCTTGGTGTAAGAGGCATTCAGAATTTTAATTGGGGCAAGGCTTTCAGGAGGAAATATAATTTGTCTTTCTCTCTTACCAGGCCATTTTGAATGAGAGGAATAAGGGGAAAGGTATTTGCTGCCTTCAATGGCTGAATATGTATTTTTAAAGTTGCGTAGTTAAATATAATGAATCATTTAAGTATAATTGTAACCAGTATGTTAGCCTAAGCCCTTTCTTTGTGCCAAGAAATTGATGTTTCTCATTCCCTCTCAGAGTGTTTCGTTGTGCACCTCTTTTTTTTTTTTTTTTTTTAATATATATTTTATTGATTTTTTACAGAGAGGAAGGGAGAGAGATAGAGAGCTAGAAATGTCGATGAGAGAGAAACATCGACCAGCTGCCTCTTGCACACCCCCCACCGGGGATGTGCCCGCAACCAATGTACATGCCCTTGACCGGAATCGAACCCGGGACCTTTCAGTCCGCAGACCGACGCTCTACCACTGAGCCAAACCGGTTTTGGCCGTTGTGCACCTCTTGATGAGAACATCCGCACACGTTATTTCGTTTCCTGAACCACCTTATGGGAAAGGCAGGGCAGGTGTCATCACTGGCTAATGAGAAGATCAGGGCTCAGCGCGGCACCACCGTGCCTAGCCTCACATGGCTGATGGGTGAACCCCTTGGTGCCTAATTTCTCCCTCTGTGTTCTTTGCAGAAAGTGAGTTTTTAACCTTTGTCTCTGAGAGTAACTAAATAGCAATAGATAAAGTTTTGAAACCATTCCTACATTATAACAATAAAATCATATCCAGAGTAAGAGCGAGGGGACTATGCTGTGTCGCAGGGGAGCGTGTACTCAGACCACCCACTTAGCTGTCGTTTAAAGAAGGCTGGCCAGGATGCAGCCCTGCTGTGTCAAGGGACCATTCCTAGGGCCCTGACAAGAGAGATCTACTTTTGCTGTGTAAGAAGATGGTCTCATAGCAGTAATTGCCTTTCTTCAGCATTTGCTTTCCATGTTTAACAATACACATAGCAGTTGATAGTATATTAACAAAATGTTATATTTAACAAATATTCAAATTTATTAGATTCAAACGGGCAATGTTTTATTAAGTACTAGAGGCCCTGTGCATAGATTCGTGCACTGATGAGGTCCCTTGGCCTGGCCTGCAGCTCTCTGACCTCTCCCCAGGGGTCCTGAAATGCAGGCAAGCCGAGGGACCTCACTGGTGCATGATTGGGGCCCAGGAAGGCCTGTGAGAGGGCTCCAAGGTGTGTCCAGCCCATGTCGCCCAGTCCAGATAGGCCGGACCCCAGCAGGAAGCTAACCCACCTGTCAGAGTGCCTGCCCCCTGGTAGTCAGTATGCGTCATAGCTACCATTCGAACTGTCAAATGATAGCTTAAGCTTTTATATATATATTCTTATTATCTTTTGAAAATGATTCCACAAGTGCTTTTTGCAGGAATTATTTATACTCAGATATTTTATGCATTTGACTGGAATTCCTGTGGAAGTGTAGAGAGTGGACTAGAACAGCCAGGGTGTTTTATGGAAGAGGGTAGATAGTTTATAACCCCTAAATCCAGTTCACTAGCTTATTAAACACCATGCACTATGCACCTGGCTTAACAGTGAAGAATGGGAGGAACTTTCTGGGAAAGGACATCAGGGGGCAAATGTCAGGAGTTAGAAAGAGTAGGAAGTATGTGTCATTGCTAGAATGTTGGTGGAGCTGAATGACTTGCACAGAAAGGGATTCTTGTTTGAGAGGAAGTAAAGTCCACAGGTTTGGTGGGCAGGATGGGACCAGGTCTGGAGTAAACAGTGAGCCGGTAAGGGATGCTGGCCGCAGTGCTCTTGTTTTCCTGTCCCCGTCTGGCAATTTTTTGGTAAATGCGCTCACCAAGCAAGACCTATTTTCATGGAACGTTGGCCAATCCAATTTCAAAATCAGATTCCTGTTCTTCTAAAAATATTATACTAATGATAGTCTTGCCAATCTTTAGCATTTCATTTAAAGATAAATTGTGCTTGCATCACATTAATGTTAAGGTTACTCTTCCAGAGGATGTAGGTATGAATGTGGACATTCCTTGGCAGATATACCGACCCTCACAAAATTAGAGGAGGGTCTGTCTTTAAAGTCTAACCATTTAACATTATCCTCTTATAAATGCTGATAATCAGATGTGATTCTTGTAGCACATGTTTTCAGCCTTTGTTCCTACTTTTCTGGGGAATTTAAACAACTCTTGCCAAGGCTCCCAGTGACTGCAGTGTGGCTTAGCTCTATGGACATTTTTTCTTCTTTTTAAAAATATATTTTTATTGATTTCAGAGAGGAAGAGAGAAACATCAAAGATGAGAGAGAATCATTGATCAGTTGCTGCCTGGACACCTCACACTGGGGATCGAGCCCACAACTTGGGCATGTGCCCTGACCAGGAATCAAACCTCCTAGTTCAGCCACTGAGCCATCCCAACTGGGCCTTGGGGACATTATTCAGCCTCCTGTTACTTGACCTCTTGTCAGCTTTAGCCCTTTCTCCTCTTTCAAACGTCCCTGGGCTTGCCCACTTTTCACCTGAAGGCTGTCATAGACCCTTCCCTCATCTCTTGGCACATTCTTTCAAATAATCTCCTTGCTTGTGGCTTGATTACCATATGTAGACAGCTGAGTCACCCTACTTATTTCCGCCCCAACCCTCTCTTGTGAGCTCCACACTCTCACCATGGTTACGGGGCCCTCTGTGGGCTGGCCCTGGCTCATGTTCCCCTCACACCCTCTACTCCGGGCGCACTGGATATCTTGAGGAGTTAACCTCAACTGTGCTCCTCCTTCCCCTCGGGGATTCCATTGCCATGTGTGGGGACGGCTGTTTACCTATATTCCAAGCAATTAGCCAGCGCTTGGTACATCGTAATGAAACTGGTACTGACCGTGTGCCAAGCTCAGGTCCCAGTACTTCGTTTCACTCATCAGTTTTTACAACAACCTACCAGGTATGCACTATAGTGAAGTCCCATCACCACTTGGATCTTGCTCCAAGCCAGTCTCTGAGTGGCAGCCAGAGTCATCGTTTCAAAACATGATTCAGTGGTGTCTCACTCTGCTTAAAATCCTTGGGTAGCTTCAGATAAAGCCTGAATTCCAGCCTATTCTTGAAATGCTTCCCCAGCCCCGCCCTCAAGTCCTCAGGCCTCCTCACTGCTCCTCCTGCTGCCCTGGGCTTCCCTGGGCCTTGTCCCTTCTGCCCAGACTTTCCTCCTGCTTCGCTCCCTTTTACCAGCCCTCTCCTCCAGGAGCCTCACCACCCTCCCCGAGGAGGTCTGACCCTCCTAAGTGGTTTCACATTGGATTCATACATGAAAGTGTTATTTGTGTGTGTGTGTGTGTGTGTGTGTCTTGAAGTATTGGACCACTTAATTTCCTTATACCTGTACTTACTTCAGGTGGTTGGCTTTAGCATAAATCCCGGATGCAATGCTGTGCAGATGGAAGTTCAGAAAACAGACTCTGAGCCGTGTGATAGATCGGTTCCCTTGTCCAAATGATGTGCTCGTATGTTACCCACCCTGATAACCGGAACATGGTACGGCACACCGCACGGCTCTGGGTGTCCTGTGCATCTCCTGTAAAAACGCAGCTGATTCTTCACGCTTGCCAGGATGGCTTTTGTCGGAAATGTGCCCTTAAATGTAGACACCGGCCCCCCTCCTCCTGCTCCCTAAAAGCTAGCACATAGAACAGGCACACCAAAGGCTGCTTGAACTAGCCGCTGTAAACCACGGTGGAAAAACTGCAGCGAAGTATTCCCAGTAGAAATCTTGGAATTCCTTCAAGTATATTGAGATTTTGTTAGAAATTGAATTGCCAGTGTAATCCATCTTCCTTGGGAGAAAACATTCAGATAAAGAGCTGGGGCCCAGCCGCATTAGCCGTTAGAACATCCCTTAAATCAATAAGCTACAAATCTGGCCGCGCATCCCCGCAGCGCCGGGTGCCCCGCTGAAGCGGTGCCGGGCCGAAGCCGCATGACGGATGGCCCGTTGGAAGCCAAACTGCTCGGCGCTGCAGATTGCCAAGCCACGGCCGGCCTTCCCTGGTGGACTTCTGCAGGACGCGGTGGCGTTGCACAGATGTGCACGAGAAAAGCAGTTTTCCTTTTGTCTTGCAGATGTCCCCAACGTGGTCATCGAAGGAGTTCTCCACGGGATCTTCTACCCTCACCTGCAGCCCAGGTAGAAAGCCTGCCGCGGGGGCCGGAAGAAGCTGAAGCCCGTTGCCACGCTGTAGTCAAGGAAATCGATCACCTACCAAATTAACCCAGACTCTAGGACATAGCAGCTCTAGGTAGTGGTGAGATTCACAGGCCCCGCTTCACTCAGGGCAGGGACATTTCCATTAGAATGGTGCTTTTAAAAATAGAAACGGAACCAGGGCTATGCTGAGGTCAAGGCCACACGTTCACAGCATAGACTGTAGCTGCCAGTTTAGAGACCCATGAGCAGGGCGCCCGGGAGGATCGCCAGGGAGCACCCGGAGCGACGGAGCCCCGTGACTCCTGGCCTCACGCGGACCGTCTGCTAATTGAAAAGCTGATCCTGAGTCGCACTGAGGCTGATCAACTCCGGTACTTCCTGGAGGAGTTGAAACTCCTGGAGGAGTTGAAAACTTCCTGGAGGAGTTGAAAACTCTCATGTTTTCATCCTGAGGTTTCCTCGGCCGGGGATAGATACGCTCTGAAGTGCGGGCACCGGAAGGGTATCACAGAAACGCACACTGCTGACTGTGAGGAAGGCGCTAAACTGGAAATTAAATTCTGCTGACAGTGTCAGGGCACCTTTTAAATCATGGCGTTTTTAATTGACATGACAGTGGAGTTGAGTCATACCCCGGGGTTAGCATCTATCGTCAGTTCGTGAGGTAAAATGAAAGCCCTTCGGGAAGGCATCCTGTTGGAAATCTGTTCACATCTCCAATGGCCGTTTTTTCCTCCAGTGTTGGGAGAAAGGACTGCTGCTTCCACCGAAGACCAATAGAAATTATTGGTGTGTGTTTGGGGGCTACACCTACACCTGCAAGATGCTTGTCCCCTGAGACAGCATGGGCACTGACCGTGATCGAGGGGACGTTCCGCACTGACAGCACTCACTTGGTTTACACAGGGCGTCCATTCACTGAGTAGGTGGTATTGCCATGGGATTTACTGTTATTTTCTTACTGTTTCCTTTTTCGCTGACCTCATGTCTTGAATTAAATGTAAGTTAAATGTGTCTATGATAGGACTCTACTGTACACCTTGCGGACATTTGTAATTTGAGTAGTAAAGGATATAAGCATATGTGCAGCCTGTATGTATATGCTGTCATTTGGGCATTTCATTGAAAATTAATTAATAGCTCAATTATTTATGATTATTTTAATAAGCTTCTGGGTGGGAGAGAAGAATATTTAGGTTCAAAGCTAATTACTGAATCATGTTACTTGATTAAGATTTAAATATACAAGTTGAAAGTCTGATGCAAACTTTTTAGAGATATGTTTATGATAGATACGGTACCACATATTAGGAACAAGCAAGAACTACTCAATGTCACCAACCAAAAATAACTGAATGGTCAAGTGTTGGAGATATTTTTTTAATGTTTTTGTTATTAGCTATTTTGAGTTAAATAAAAACAGCAAGAAATATTTGAAGTTGTCATCTGCTCCTAATATTTTGTTGGAAATACAAATTGTGTCTTGTCCCTTTACATACACACACAACTTCTCATGGATTCACATAGATATTTATGTCTAATACTAAAGGTCCAGTGCACGAAGTCCTGCACCACTGAGGTCCCTTGGCCTGGCCTCAGGGATTGGGCCAAAACTGGCTTTTCGACATCCTCCGAGGGGTCCCAGATTGTGAGAGGGCACAGGATAGGCTGAGGGACCCCACCAGTGCACTATCAGAGCTGGGGAGGGGCGCAGGAGATTGGCCAGCTGGGAAGGGACTTTGGCTCCAGGGTGTGTCCAGCCCGTCTAGCTCAGTCCCGATCTGCCAGACTCCAGTAGCAAGCTAACCTACCAGTTGGAGCATCTGCCCCCTGGTGGTTAGTGCATGTTATATCGAGCAGTTGAGCGGCCTTAGCATATTACGCTTTGATTGGTTGAATGGATGACTGGACACTTAGCATATTAGGCTTTTATTATATAGGATGACAAGGTAAGGGTTAATTACCTCATCTGTTAAGCCAAAAAATACTCATTAGGTAGTTATGGTTTACCAAGATAGTGATAATTTAAGAAAATAAATACCAAGCATCTTTAGTGGCATACTACTCAAGAAATAATTTTTGAGAATTAATATTTTATTTTAAATTTATCTTTATTGTTGAAAGTATTGCAGATATCCACCGCCCCCCCATTGACTCCCCTTCCCTCTGATCCCGCCCCCTCCCCAGGCCTTCACTGCACTATTGTCCATGTCCTTTTTCTTAGAAATGACTTTCGCTTTTTTTTATTTTATGTAAATGTTTGATATATAGTTTCCTATTCCACTGCAGGAAATAGAAATAAAATAGGTATTTTAAGCAGAATGAAATAATAAGGAACTGAATACTTATAGAATCTTTGAAAGAATGAGGAGGGTGAACGCCTGCTGGGTCTCCAGCAACAAATTTCAGAACATTCCAGCAAGCGCCAGTACCCACATGCCGGGGGAGCTACAACTTTTGCCTTAAGCAGGAGCTCAGGGAGGCACGAGGCTGCTACTGGAGCCACTGAGGTAAAAACCTCCCCGGTAGCTGCGATCCAAGGATCAGCATGTCGGGTCAGGAAGTCACTGTTAGCGCCATAACTGCCTCATAGCCGCTAGCTGCCCTGGGAGCTGTGACCGGGCACTGGAACAAGGGGTCCAGCTGCCACCACCTACTCCACAATGGCCTCAACACCCATGGCCTTGCCTCCAGCAGCCGTAGCCCCAGCAGCAGGAAGATGGTGTTCACCTACTTCTGTCTTCCACTCCACATCCCACAGAAGTCCATCCAGTTGTCAGAACCTTATTCTCGATCCCCAACATCAAAGCAGTCTGAGAAGGATTTGGAACTTTCTGGCAACTCAAAAGGCCCAGGAAGCAAACTTACCTTTAAAGTCCCGGTTGGAAGAAAAAGGTTCAAGATTTCAAATTGAGACAGCCACCCAAAGGAGAGGACATAATAGTTACCCTCTAGGCTAGATGGCGACCTTGACCTTGTTTTCAAAGGCCTGGTGTACTTCAGGGAGAAAGCCCTCCACACCCTCTAAAAAAACAAATGGTGAGAAAATGTCTATGACTCCTCATAAAACTTCAGAAGTAGGCAGCATGTTAAGCCCTTTCCAAACTCTCAAAATTTGTGAGTCTGAGCATTCTGACCGAACTAGGGATGAAAATAAAACTCTATTTGTGGGTCTTGTGATGCACTGTGTGTGATTCTTAACATTTGTCAGATAGCCTTCCCCTCACCCCCAGACAGAACGCTTGTGACTAGTCACTAATTCTGCATTAATGCCATTGTTTTTCCCATTGCTCCAGATCAGTGGTTCCCAACCATGTTTGGGCCATGCCCCACCTAAGCATCTCTAAAATCCTGATGTCCCCCTCCCCCACACACACACCTCCTGTGACATATAATTCTTATTATTCAAAAAAAATGACCTCCTGTTCATGTGGAGAAAGCCTAAAAGGTCATTAACTTGGTCTAACCAAGCTTCCAAAGAACATGGCATCCATGAAAGAGAAAAATAAAAGAACGCAAGGACAGTTGAAGTACTGAGAAAGAAATTACTAAGAAATTGTTAAAAAATAAAATAATAATATAATGCCGAAACCGGTTTGGCTCAGCGGTAGAGCATCGGTCTGCAGACTGAAAGGTCCCAGGTTCAATTCTAGTCAAGGGCATGTACATTGGTTGCGGGCACATCCCCGGTAGGGGGTGTGCAAGAGGTGGCTGGTCAATATTTCTCTCTCATCGACATTTCTAACTCTATCTCTCTCCCTTCCTCTCTGTAAAAAATCAATAAAATATATTAATAATAATATAATATGAAAAAATAGCAAATAAAGTTTCCAAACATAATAGAGAACTGAAATGCATAAATATGTCATATATGAGGACCCTAGAACCATAAGAAATGCAAAAAATTCACTGTTGATAGCTCATCCTCCAATTGCCCCCCTTAAAAATCAAACTGCCCTCCTGTGGGGAGTGTGCCCCACGCTGGGAACCGCTGCGCTAAGATGATCAGAACACAAGCCGATCTCCAAGTAAGTTATGTTATATCGCACCTAGGACTTAACACTTGGCTGAAATCTGAAATTCACAAGATGAATTATAACTAAGCAGAAGCCATTATGTCCTTAAGAGCGACAACATTTTCCATTACAAATACTGTTTTTACTCTTTCTTAAAAAAAAAAAAAAAAAAAGTGCCTTCAGGGGGCTTTGACTTTCTAAGCCTTACAGATCAAAGATTTCCTCTGCTGTCTGAATTATAGGAATGTTGGAAAACAAAAACAAATTCTTTTCCTGCTATAAAACCCTTGCCATGTTTTTGTCTTTATGTAACTCAAAACTGCTGAACTAACAAATGAGGTTGATGAGTGCTGTTCAGAACCTAAGAATTCATCAGAAATGGAGTGGACGATAACTTTGAAAGTGTCCTTCTAACTAATCCAACCCAAGAATACATTTCACTAAGTCCTTATGCAACGATCCAGAAAATTGCTAAGTAGCATGTAGAATAAAACAGCTCATGGCTAAGGGTACCAAGATGTTTTAAATTGTTTATGAAAGTGATTCAAGACTAAACTGCAGTCATCTGGTGTGGCGGTGGCCGGTGCACTCTCCCTCCATACAGGCCCTTGGCTCCAACATGTGTATTTCTAACGGCCCGGCTGTCTCAGAGTGCCCTGCTTGTTTCAAAAGCATTTTCGGAAAGCATAGATTCTTTTGCAAAGCAATCGTTCATAGTCTTCAGTTTGCTGCTGTGTTTGGTGTAAGGCCTGCCTTTCAGGGACAAGAAATAAACTGCTGCTAGCAGATGTGTGTGCGTGTGTGTGTGTGTGTGTGTGTGTCCTGGGCTTATTGGGCCTCTGGTATAACAGCCAACCAGACAATTTGCTACCTGTGCCCTAGTGGTCTCGGAATTTCAGCACTTTGAAAATGACCACTCTCTGCTTTGTAGCTAGAGGACATCATTAGGCTCATGTGAATGAGAACACCAGATGGCCAGAATGGTATCAAGTACATGCCCCTATGCCTGGTGGGCAGCAGGGGCTTGCTTACGTGATCTCTGACCTTTGAGATTCAAGACACTTTATATATCTAAGAGGTCATTTGTTTCCAGTTGGTTACCTTGAAAAAGCTTAATGTTTCCTTTTCATGATTATTAAAAAGAAATGCACTCTAGAGAAAAATTGGAAGACTGAAAAAAATATAAATATAGGAATTTTGTTTTTTTTTAATCCCACCATTTGCATTTGATTTCTGTCCGTTTACATGTTGTTGCATTTGCATTATGAGAATATATTTACAGAAGTGAGATCATGCTGCATACAGAATTTCTACTTTTTCTGGAAAACATCCATTTTCTCATGTTACTCCTAGGTTCTGTAGCATCGGTCTTAATGAATGCATAGTATTTTATTATGGGATGTATGTTTTATAACCATTTGGGGACATTCAAGTTGCTTCCAGTATTTTGCTACCATAAATAATTCTGCAATTCACATCTTTCTACATAAAACTTTTCAATATTGCTGTATTGGACAAAGACTTCAGGTTGCAAATCACAAAAAATAATTCACCCTGGCTTAAGCCAAAAAGGAAATGTATTGGCCTGCACGGCTAATAAATTAGGGTGGAGATTGGCTTCAGGCTGCTGGACTCAGTTGTGTCTTCAGGCATCCATCTTGCTGTCCAGCTTCCCTCACTGCTGATTTTATTCTCAGACCTGCTCCTTTACGTCCTCAAGAAGAGACAGCAGCTCTTCCCTGGAATTTCCAGCAGAAGTCTCACGATGGAGGCTCGCTAGCACCCCTGGGGTCAAACACCTATCCCTGAGCCAGTCGCCAGGTCAGGGTGAGGGAATGTTCTGCTCTGCTTGGCCAACAGGACAACCCTGCTCCCTCTCCCATCACTCCCCCACCCTGGCGCTGCACACATGGACTTTTTGCTGTTCCTTGAATTCACCAGTCTGCCCTTCACCCAGAGCCACCACTCTTGGTCCCCTCTGCCCCCCATGTCCTCGCAGCTTACTACCCTCTCACATCCTTACTACCCCTCAAAGCTTACTACCTACTCACACTCAGAGACTTTGGGGATCACCTCTTCACTCTCTATCCTCCTGCCTGCTCCATTTCTCTTCATAGATTTATTACCACCTGATGCTCTGCTATATATTCATGTGGCATACATGTGAATTACTTGTCTCCTCCCCTGGGAACCATGGGGGCTGGCACTCTATTCAGCCCTCAGTAAATACGCATCAAGAGTTAATGAATGAGCTCTGACTGGTTTGGCTCAGTGGATAGAGCATCAGCCTGCAGACTGAAGGGTCCCAGGTTCGATTCCAGTCAAGGGCACGTACCTTGGTGGCAGGTTCCCAGTAGGGGGTGTGCAAGAGGCAGCTGATTGATGTTTCTCATTGATGTTTCTAACTAACCCTTTTCCTTCCTCTCTGTAAAAAAAAAAAAAAATCAATAAAATATGTATTTTTTAAAAAATAGTTAATGAATGAGTTGGCCAGGCTAGGCACATACTTATCCATAGGGTCAGCCTACACCAAGGACAAGAAATGCTTGAGGAAATGGTGTGATTCCCCCAAAGAGAATGGGGGCCATCCCCGGAACACAGGGGAATGGATCATGCTCAACACAACTTCAGATCACTTTCTAAGTCAAATTCTCAGGACTGGGACTTCAAAGGTTAGAAGTGTTTTGAGTTTCTTGATATGCACTTCAGCTCCCTTTAACAATAATCTTTGTCCAATGCAGACCACATCATGACCCTCCCCAGCTTAAACTGGTAACTCCCCGTTCCGCTGTGACTACTCTGGCCCCGAGGCCCAACATGACCCAGCCTCAGCCTGACTTCTCTGACCTCTCAGGATGCAACATTCTGGCTTTGGCTTCTGCCCTGGAGGGAGCCCACTCCCTCTCACCTCAGCACCCTCACCTTTCCCTTCCCTCTCTGCCTAGCGGGTCTGAATGTAGGTCTGGCCTGCCCACCGCCTGCTCTTCCTTTGGCCCTCAGCTCAAATGTGCCTGTAGGAGGCCTTCCTTGGCCACTGGAACATCACTGCCCTCCTGGCCTCTCCACAGAGCTGTGGGGATTAGTCAGAGTGCGCATTTCCTCTCATCTCTCATTGAAGCCATTATCTTACAAGGCAGCTCAAGAGATGGAATTTTTTGGACCTTCACTGCATGGGACCCAGAGAAAAAGCAATAGGCTATTTTCTAACAAGACACCATTCTCATGTGAACAAGAGCAGGCACAGGCCATTACGGCCAGGAGTGTCACAATAAGGCCCCAACAGGATTTTACTTTCTCAGCTCATTTAAGTAAAAAAAGATTCCTTTTTTTTTTTTTTTAATGCACAGAATTTTATTTTTTTTATTATTATTTTTAAATATATTAATAAAATATATTTAAAAATAAACATCGATGAGAGAGAAACATCGACCAGCTGCCTCTTGCACACCCCCTACTGGGGATGTGCCCGCAACCAATGTACATGCTCTTGACCGGAATCGAACCCGGGACCTTTCAGTCCACAAACCGACGCTCTACCACTGAGCCAAGCCGGTTTTTGTTGCCACTGGACTCAAGGGACCTTTCTGAAAATGTAAAAATTTAATTAAAATTAGGGACTAATCGGTTCAAGTATTTGGAATGTGGATGGGCATCATTTCTGTGCATTCTCACCCCAAATTATTACATTATTTTAGTACTCTGATTTATAGAACCCTTTCCAATCCGTTGTTTGTTAACATTAGAGTGTGTATGTTTTTGTACATTAAATTTTAAATAATTTTTAATTTAATAAAAAAGTCTTGTAAAAAGAGTTTATCTATATAAAAAGTATTTAATACAGAGAACATCAAAGCACCTTGCATTAGGTAAAGGTTCCTATGACATATATCAGATTATACTAACCAAATCTCCCTTTACCTAAAATGAATTCTGTTTAAATACAAAATACTACCCTTCACGTCCCCATCTTCTCCTGTCAAATCTTCAGTATCACCAAACGTGGGGATCACAGTTAATTCAGCAAAATAACAATTGTGTTCTTCCAAAGAAAATAGCAAATACAGTTTTCTAGTTTAAAAATAGCACCATTGAAGGAAGGGGATATGTCTTTTAAGTACAAAGTCCCTAAACAAAATTCATGCAAAATAAGCTTTGGTTGATTTTTATAAATCTCCTGTGATCTGGAGTGGAAAACAGAAGAGAGTAGAAAGACAAAGCAAAAAAGTAACTTTGAAGAATAAAAAGACCCGTACGCACACACACACGCACGCATGCACGCACACCCTGATAGAGTATGTTCCTTGTTTCCTGCCAGCTGCATCACCAGTCGGGGACCTCAACCACGAAGGGTGTTTTCACGTCTATCTTGCCACTGTTGACGATGGTGCAGTCGGTGAGTGGGCGGTCATGCCCATCAGTTGCCTGAAGTTCTATGGAGTGGACCACTGTCTGGAGAGAAAAAAGCAGACACGAGGTTCACTCTGACCAGCAAGTATGGCAATCAAAAGTGAAGTCAATGCCAAGTCTAAAAGCCCAAGTGGGAAGTAAGTAAGTAAGTTGTTTTTTTCCCCCCTATGATAACAAAACCATACTAACTATGGAAAATTTAGAATATTCAGGAAATTTATATATTAAAGAATAAAACTGACCCACCACCTTACTGATTAGAGAACATATTTATCTATTTCCTCATTTCTTTTTATTTGCATTTTATTTTCTGGGGGGAAAATAAATTTTTGTAAACACCTACCTCTAATTAAAGATATTTCTACTTGTTATAACCCTAAGTAACTGCAAACATGGAGTTTGAGTCCGTTTCAGCTCCATCTGTCATAGGTCCAGGCATCATCAAATGGGCCAGATTTAGAAGGAGAGCTTGTTTTGGGTTTGCCCATTTAAAAAAATGACCCAAGTCGCCTGGCTGGTGTAGCTCAGTGGTTGAGCATCAACCCATTAACCAGGAGTGCAGGTTCCATTTCTGGTCAGAGCACATGTCCAGGTTGCAGGCTGTGGGTTGTGGGCTCTATCCCCAGTAGGGGGTGTATAGGAGGCAGCCAATCAATATTTCTCTTATCACTGATGTTTCTCCCTCTCTGAAATCAATAAAAAAAATTTTTATTAAAATAACACCTGACCCACACCATTATAGTTGAGTCGAACACTAACGTAACCCCAACCCCACAGTGATGCTCAGAGATTTTGCAGGCCCACATACCACCTCGTGTCACACGAAAGGAGGGAGGCCTGGCCAAGGACTGGGGAAGCCAGCTGCTGATGTTTCCCAAACACGGTTGAGACACAAGTAGCAACAGAGAGTCTGAGTGCCTTGGACATTTCAACCTCTGGCTGACTTAGATCAATTTAAGATAAAAGGGCGGCATTCTTCTAATAATATATATTTCTAAATAGACTGTGTGTGCGCACACATGTGTGCCTAACACAGTGACTACACATCTGAATAGCTTGTGGCACTTTTAAAAAAAATGCTTATATAATAGTTAAAATGGAAATTCCTGTGTTACGTATTTTTTGCCACAATTTAAAAATGCTTGTTTGTGGGCCCACCTCTGGAGGTTCTGCTGCAGCTCTGAGGTGAGGTCTAGAGACCATCTGGGTCACTTTGTTAACACAACCCAGATGATCTTTGGAGAATCAAAGGATGGAATTCAGGAGATTCCCTCCATTTCCTGAAACTGTATGAAACATACACACACTTTTTTTTTTTTTTTTTTTTTTTTCCTGGAGAGAAAGTCTATGGTCTTCATTAGTTTTTTAAGGGTTTAATCTCCAACATGTACAGGGAACTCATACAACCTAACAAAAGGAAGGTGAACAATCCAATAAAAAAATGAGCAAAGGATCTAAATAGACACTTTTTGAAAGAGGACATTCAGAAAACTAAGAGACATGTAAAAATATGCTCAAAGTCACTAATCATCGGAGAGATGCAAATCAAAACGACAATAAGGTACCATCTCACACCTGTCAGAATGGCTATTATCAACAAGCAACAAGTGCTTGAGAGGATTCAGAGAAAAAGGAATCCTCGTGCACTGCTGGTGGGAATGCAGACTAGTGCAGCCACTGTGGAAAACAGTATGGCATTTCCTAAAAAAATTAAAAATGGAACTTCCATTTGACCCAATAATCCCACTTCTAGGAATATATACCAAGAAACTAGAAACACCAATCAGGAAATATGCATCCCTATGTTCATGGCAGCACAATTTACCATAGCTAAGATTTGGAAACAGTATAAATGCCCATCAGCAATGAATGGATTAAAAAACTGTGGTACATCTACACAATGGAATACTATGCTGCTGTAAAAAAGGAGGAATTATTACCATTTGCAACAGCATGGATGGAACTGGACAGCATTTTGTTAAATGAAATAAGCCAGTCAATGAAAGAAAAATACCACATGACCTCACTTATTTATGGATAATAAAGAACATTATAAACTGATGAACAAAAATAGATACAGTGGCAGAGCAGCATCGAACAGACTATCAAACTACAGTGGGAAGGCAGGGAAGGGTTGCGGAGAGGGAGGGAGGTAAGAGAAACTGAAGGACTTATATGCACGCATATAAGCATAATGAATGGATGCAAGGTATTGGGGGTTAGGAGAGGCTGAGGGAAGGTCAATGGGGGGAAAACGGAGACATGCACTACTCTTTATAATAGTTAAAGCAATAAAATAAAAAATTTTAAATAGATTATAACCCATAAAATATTAAGGACTTTTCCTCTAAGACCAGGCAACAGGTCTCCTAGGAAGCATACCAATGGATAGAAGGAAATTGTTGCTTCAATGAGAGCAATAAGACATAAGACCTAGAAGATGGAAGAAAAACCATGACCAAAGAAGAGCACCCAAATCTTGTACTCTTCACTTTCCTTACAGCTTAGCATGATGTGGCATTAAAAAATATTCATTGAATGGATGAATAAACCAGTTTATGTTTAAACTATTTAGAACCTGGTTAGGCTCAGAGGTAAAACACCCAAACTCATTTAACACATGCATGCTCATGTTTAGCTCATTCAAAAGCAAAGTTCAATCGGAGATTGGAAAAGTGATTTCATTCATTATCATTTAAGACTAGATTCTGGCCTGTCTGGCTCAGTTGGTTGAGCATTGTCCCATGTACCAAAAGGTCACTAGTTCGATTCGTGTAAGGGCACATATCTGTGTTTCAGGCTCAATTCCTGGTAGGGGGTATGCAGGAGGCAGCCGATGGATGTTTCTCTCTCTCTCTCTTACCCTCTTCCTTCCTCTTTCTCTAAAAAGTCAATTACATATATATATATATATATATATATATATATATATATATATATATATATATATATATATTGGGTCGGCAAGTAAGTAATTGCGGGTTTCACACATATATGGCTTCAGTTGAATTTTTAGGTTTGCAGACGTAGTAAAAATGTAAAACACATTTTGTTATTTGATAGTTGGATATTCAGCTGTTAATCAGTAAAAAAAGTTTTTTGATCTGTTTTGTAGTTTTTGTTTGGCGTTCGTTGAAAAATGGAAAATCAAAAGGAACATTTTCGTCATATTTTGATTTTTTATTTCCACAAAGGGAAAAACGCATCGCAAGCTCATAAAAAGTTATGTGCTGTTTATGGTGACGAAGCCTTAAAAGAATGGCAGTGTCAAAATTGGTTTGCCAAATTTCGTTCTAGTGATTTTTCACTCAAAGATGAAAAACGCTCTGGTTGTCCAGTTGAAGTTGATGACGCCCTAATCAAAGCAATAATCAATTCGGACTGTCACAGTACAACACGTGAGATTGCAGAGAAGCTTCATGTATCACATACATGCACTGAAAATCACTTAAAACAACTTGGCTATGTTCAAAAACTCGATACATGGGTTCCTCACGAACTGAAAGAATCACAGTTAACGCAACGCATTAGCAGCTGCGATTTGCTAAAGAAACGTAATGAAAATGATCCATTTTTAAAACGACTGATAACTGGCGATGAAAAATGGGTTGTTTACAACAATATCAAGCGGAAAAGATCGTGGAGCAGGCCAGGTGAACCAACTCAAACAACATCAAAAGCTGATATTCATCAAAAGAAGGTTTTGTTATCAGTTTGGTGGGATTACAAAGGAATTGTCTACTTTGAACTCTTACCACCCAACCGAACGATCAATTCTGATGTCTACATTGAACAACTAATGAAATTAAACAATGCAGTTGAAGAAAAGCGGCCCGAATTGACAAATCGAAAAGGTGTTGTATTCCATCATGACAATGCAAGGCCACACACATCTTTGGTCACTCGGCAAAAATTAATGGAGCTTGGTTGGGATGTTTTGCCACATCCACCATATAGTCCTGACCTTGCACCATCTGATTACTTTTTGTTTCGATCTTTACAAAACTCCTTGAATGGTAAAAATTTCAATAATGATGATGATGTCAAATCGTACCTGATTCAGTTTTTTGCTAATAAAAACCAGAAGTTTTTTGAACGTGGGATTATGATGCTGCCTGAAAGATGGCAAAAGGTCATTGATCAAAATGGGCAATACATTACAGAATAAAGTTATTTAGTTCCATGAAAAAATTGTCTTTGATTTTCTTTAAAAAATCCGCAATTACTTACTTGCCGACCCAATATATGTATATGTATATGTATATATATATATATATATATATATATATATATATATATATATATATATATATATATATATATGAACGTAGGCATGTCCTTTATTGTGATGGGCTGTGAAGTGACATATTAAGGGATATGTATGTGCCCTATTCCCCACTCATCCCACTTGCTAATGAGAATTCTGTCTTTGACAGCTCAGGTTGGGCACTTCCTTTCCTTGTAAAGGCACTTCTGAGTTGGCCAGCTCACTTCTGGCTTTCTGTTGGGTAGAATCAGAAAAGCAGGTGGAAGTTGTGGAAGAATTGCAATGAGTGAGATCGGTTTGTTTAGGTTTGGATGAGGGAGGTAGAACAACTCATAGGAAAGCAAAACAAATGAAATAAGGAAGGTCCAGGGTTGGGTTGGCAGACCTTACAATAGCCGGGAGTTGAGAGAGCTACTTTGGGCAGTTGTTAAGGAGAAGAAATATTGAAAGTGGAAAAGAATGAGGACTTTAAGAAGTGTTCCTATGGATTATGAACTGGATGCTTTTGATATTTTTTTTTAGTCTGCAGGCCAATGCTCTATCCACTGAGCCAAACCGGTTAGGGCGCCGTTGATATTTTTTGAGTCAGCAGCATAAATCTGAATTCTCTTTAGTAATATTGACTGCTATACTGTGTGTTTCTAAAGGTGACTTGTGTCTCAACTGAATCGCATGGGGCACTAGGGTTGTGTTTTTTTTTTGTTTTTGTTTTTTTATTGTGGTAAGAAACACATAATGTAATATTTACCATCCTATCCATTCCTAAGAGTCAAGTTCAGTAGTATTAAATATATTCACATTGTAGTACAACTAATCTCCAGAACGTTCTCGTCCTGCAAAACTGAAACTGTATACCCATTGAACATTAACTCCCCATTTCCTCCTCCTCGTGACCCCTGGCAACCACTATTCAACTTTATGTTTCTATGTGTTTGACTTCTTTAGATACCACCTCATATAAGTAGATTCATTCAGTCTCTTTATGACTGGCTTATTTCACTTAACATTCTCAAGTTTCATCCATGTTGTAGCATGAGACAGGATTTCCTTCCTTTTTACGGCTGAACAATATTCCATTGTATGCACATACAGGGCCCTAGTTTTATTTGGTTACCTTAAAAAGAGTTTCCTTTTATAACTAGTGAGATATATTAACTTAAGTACTCAACTTCTCCATATCAAGTCCTCAGCTTCTGCCCCAATGCTCCTAACAATTAAAATGCCATACCATTTATAATTTATTCTCCTCTGAAAAGGCCAGTCGGCCTCTTATAATAATGGATCTTGAACAAGCACCATTAAAATACTAATTGAAAATTCTCATTATAAATGTAAAGCTTTGAATGAGAAAAATAATATATCAAGTTACCATGCCATCGATGACTTTTCCAAATACCACATGTTTGCCATCCAACCAGGAGGGCTTGGTCAAGGTGATGAAGAACTGAGAGCCATTGGTGTCAGGCCCGGCATTGGCCATGCTGACCCACCCAATGCCATAATGCTTCAGTTTGAAGTTCTCGTCTGGAAATGTCTCACCGTAAATGCTTATACCTGGTGAGACAGAACAAGGAAGGGGAGATTCAACAGATGTTATATGAAAGTCAGTTCTTCAAAGGGAAACATGAGGTTTTAGTAGAATTGGTAAAGAAGACCCGGTAAGAGTGGGAAATGGGGGAAAGATGGTAAAACATAAGGAGAAAGGAAAGGGAGCATAAAATAACTCCTTAAGGAAGCAGGTCACTGGGGACGGAAACCAACATACACAAACAAAAGCCTGAAATTTGACACAGGATGGCAGCACACCCTCTGGCCTCAAACCAAGGGCCAAACCCTGACCAGCTAGTGCAATGATCTCACTGTAAAATGAGAAGTGATTGAAGGGCAATAGTAAAGCCAGCTTGAAAGGTGGATGAGCCAGTTCATGGCTCAATCTCTGTCCTGAGGGCCAGGGTCCCTCTCCTAGGTCACTCCTACCTCAGTATCCAACCAGAGTACACTAAGCAATCAATACTCTTAGCTAATTCTCACAACAACCCAAAGAATAGGTATTCTCAATCCTGGTTCACCATGAGAAACCCAGGTTATAAAACTTGAAAACAGCAAAACAGAACGTGACCACCTGGCTTTCTGATTCTAAGGCAGGTGCTCTTAGCTGCCTCAGCACTGAGAGCAGAGCGGCCAGCCTGGAAGTCGTTAGGCACAATGACGTCAGGCTCGTCAAAATACAGAGGGTGATGGCGATTGGGAACACCCAGTGATCCAACCTGAACAGAATGACCAAAGGCAGGCACCCGGGCTGGAGTTCTAGCAAAGCAGCAGGTAGAGCAGAACACATTTCCCCCATAAAACGAAGGCACAGACCATGAGAAGGATGTGCTCCATCCTCCAACACCGTGAGTGCCTGTCATGCTCACCCTCTCCCCTTCTGCAGGGCTCCCTGTCCATCTGCTGCCAGCCCTAAAATCCTGGCTTAGTTAGGACCAGAAGCAGATATCAAAGGCAAGCTGGCTGATCAGTGACATATGAGGTGGCCTGGCAGGAAAGCTCTGCCTACAAAGGAGTTTAGGCTAAATTAAGTGATCCACCAGGTCCTGTCTCCAAAACTCAGAGAATTTTAATTCAACTCATGTATGTACACACTTGCGCCTGCAGGCTGAGCGCGCACGTGCAAACACACACACACACACACACACACACACACACACACACACACACACTGGGCAGGGAAGGCAGTGAGAAAGAAAAATATAGAAAAGGAGACACAGTAAATCCCAGTCACCATTCCTGCTGGGCCCTTGGGGAGGATAGTGGGATGTCAGTCCAGGAGGAGATAGTGCGGAAGGGGCAGGGGTTTGCTGATTCTTGAGCTGCAGGATTTTCCAGTGAGACTCAGCTCCACAGCAGCTGGGATCCCTTCCCTGCACATCCTCACCAACCCATTTACCCAAGTTCCCCGCTTCATGCTACATCCCCGCAGCTTGCAGCATTTTTGCAAGGGCTAAAGGTAATCTTCCTGAAGTGCCTGGCAAATCCAAGCATGTAATGGTAGGCATTTTGTTATAAATAAACCATTGCAATAAACATACAATTAGCAATAGTGCTGGAAAATAGCCTAGGTTTCTTGAAAAAGTTAGCAGTCTAATATCCACCAAAACGGCATTTGATAATTAAAAGTCTTAAGTAAATTTAAATTCTGTGTCGTTGTATGTACCACGTGGATTCAGGAAAGGAACTCACTATTTTTCTGAAGGAAAATAGCCCAGGGAGCTGGGTAACTGGAATCCTCCATCAGAAACAATGGTCAGGGAGATTTGAAAGTCTATACATTTAATTAGTTGTACTTTATAGAACTCTTAACTTTATTTATAAAAATTAATTTGTATTATAATTTTGACAACTCATCTATTAAGTTTTTAGTATTAAAAAAGCTGACATGAAATGAAAGAATTTTGAGAGAAGGGGATAAATTCACCAATTCACCTGTAATCCTGCCATCTAAGTGCCAATCTCGTCCTCCTAAAATGATGCCCTCAGTCCTCTTCCACCAACATCCAATTTGTAGCCAGCTGCTACCCCCAAATACACAGGGTTATATTCTGCCTTCTCTTCCCATGGCAGACAGCTTTCTGTACTGCTACACACCAGGAGTCTAGCATTTTAAGAACAGTCTACTAAATGGATATATTTCCACCAAGATAATATACACCAAAGTGATACTTTTTAAAATTAGAAGGCCTTGCTCATTCCTATCTACCAGCATTTGGCCTCCAAAACTTTATCCTTTATCCTTCCTAAAGAATTCATTTGGTGGACTTTACGATTTTGTTCCTTAAATCGTAGAACTCAATATACGGGGTGAGTATACTGGCTTAATGCTAGGTTTCAGTTTGTTAAGTGGGAAAGGAAAAATACAAAAGACAATTTACCGCCAGTGCCATCCCCGTTGGTGAAGTCTCCTCCTTGAATCATGAAATCTTTGATGACACGATGAAATTTGCTTCCTTTATATCCATATCCTTTCTAAAGAGATTATGTCAATTGAATATATAAGTAGATATAACCCATACTGAAAGATAAACCCCAGTGTTTATCTGAAAATAACAAAACAAGAGAATTATACAAAATACCTACAGAACTTGACTAGGCGTCTGCAATAATACACTGCTAGAAATTAACATTAACTGATCAAATCAATAAATGTAAGTAAACAAACAAGCCATGGAAGTAAAGTATTAATGGGAAGAAATAAAACGAGAGCAATCTGCATTTTCACTTGGTGATGGTTTCCCCTCAATTTCTAGAAGCCCAAGGATGCTGAGGGCCTGAAGTATACAGATTTCATACAAAAATGAGGTAACATATTGCAGGATGTCTCAGGTCCACCTGACCTACTGATTAAGTCCTTTTTTCCCCAGAAGCCATCTTTATCTTGATTTAAGAGAAGGAAGATCCGATTTGTGCACAAAGGAAATAAGCCAAGACATACCGCCCCTGTGGCCAAAGCGACAAAATTGTCCACCGTCTTGGGCACAACTTTTCCAAAGAGGCCAATCACTATCCGGCCAACATCTTTGTCTCCGATCCTCACATCAAAGAAAACCTGCGTGTGGTTGAAAGGCAGAGCAGAAGGTTACATGGAAACGCCGGGTATACAAGGTAAGTGAAGATGAAAATCTGTGAATGGACCCCCATCTGAAAGCCCTGCCCACCAGTGTTTTACAGAAGGGTCATGAAGGAGCATGATATACGTTATAGGAACTCTATTTCCATGTTTTGGGTGTACTTTGCTCGCACATATTCATCCAACAAACATTTATTGAGCACCACCTAAGGGCCAGGCACTGTGGTAGGTTCTGGGTTTCACATTGGACTCAATACTGTCAGAGTCGGCCAGTAAAGTCTTCAAGAATTCCTCTTCCCCACACACCCAGACAAGAACTGCTGCTCCTTCCTGTGTCCCAGTTTGTGGGGGAAGGTGAGAGTGGGAACTTCCTCTTCTGAAAGGTAATGCTCTCTCATCTTGGCAGAAGAAGAAAAATGGCTGAGGAGAGGAACAGGCTAGTATCTAGATTTAATTTTTGGAACTTCAAACAGTGCCACATTCCCAGTGCATTCTCAATAGACATCTGCAGCCGAGGGGACTGCAGGGGATGACCAAATCTCACGGCAGTCCTCCCCAAGGCAGGAAGGTACCAGGTTCCCAGCCTCGCCCAAGGTACAGCACAAGTTACGCTCAGGTCTCGACAAAACCTTTCCCAAGCATGTCACACTCGCAGCCGGCGGGCTGCGGGCCTTGTTTAGTGGCCCACCGGCCACAGTGCCTGACATTTTAGGACAGAAAAAAACACCTATTCAGAGGTAAGTGTGAGTCGCTCTTTTTGCAAATAAACTTTAAAGGTTCTCTTGGAGTTTAAAAAAAAAAACACAAAAAACACTTTTCATCTGAAATGAAATTATATACATTTTGCTTCACAAATCACTGTGTGAAGATGATTCTGAGACAGAACACTTGAAAAGGCCATGGAGTTGAAGGGCATTCGATTAGCGAGTTTAGATTATATGAACCAATTTAATGTTTGAATGAATGGGGGGAAAAAGACATTCAAGAGATGGCTTTAAAAAATATGAGAAGGGTTGTCAAAGAAAAAGGATGTCTTACAGTTGAGAAAAATCACGAAGTAAAGACTGTCCACCTTCAGTTCAAGATAAGAGCTTCTGCCAATGCATCAGCTCGTCTGCCGTGAGTGATGTGATAGTTAGTGTTCCATGTGGTGTTTTACAATTTTCACATGGCAAAGCAGCACACACTGTGTTCGTATTTATCCACTGTAACTGTAGGCATGCACGGAAGACCTGGAGCTGAGGCAATGGTGTAGAGAAGAGCAATGCAGTAAGGCTGACTTAACCCACACAGCCTGGTCACACAGGGCTAGTCTCTCCAAAGGGATTTCCAAGCCAAGGAGTAAATTCTTTCAGGGGCTATAACAAAGTAGCACCGGGAAAAGAGTCAGGCACATAATTTTAAAGAAATACTGTATGCGATACTAGAAAAGCCTGCCAGACTTTTAAAATAAAGAGGAGCCGAGACCGGTTTGGCTCAGTAGATAGAGTGTTGGCATGTGGACTGAAGGGTCCCAGGTTTGATTCCTGTCAAGGGCATGTACCTTGGTTGCGGGCACATCCCCAGTAGGTGTGCAAGAGGCAGCTGATCGATGATTCTCTTTCGTTGATGTTTCTAACTCTCTATCCCTCTCTCTTCCTCTCTGTAAAAAAATCAATAAAATATATTTAAAAAATAAAAAATAAATAAAGAGGAACAAATAAAGCCTGCAAATGTTGAGAAATCAAAGAAAATAAAATCTGGGGAGCCTGAGATGAGAAGTGCTTTTCAACCAGCATAACTCAGTAAAAATCTTACTGTCTTACACTCAGCTTAGCACGCATACAGGGGGGCCCCCCAAAACGGTATATACACTGTAACAGCTGATAGCTCAATTTTGAAAATTAAATGTATTTTAACAAACACTGCCTTTGTAGCTATTGCGAATGTGTGTCTACATTTTTGGGGACGCCCTAAACTAATACATTTTTCTCCCAAACTGCGGTGTCCTTTAACTTCATGAGTGATGGATAGCAAGAAAATAAAGCAGAGTTCTTCCAACCCTGATGGAAATGGAGCTTCCAGTCCCATAGAACAGAAAGCGCATATGCCAGCAGCTTTAGTATAACAGGAAATAGAGTTTTCTCAGAAGATGGGTACAGATAATAGGGTTAAAGGTGCTGATTATCTGCAGGGACCAGGGCAGGCTTCCTGGAGTTGGTACTCGGATCCCATGTTGCAGGTTAGGAGTGGCATCTCAGTCACTTTCTGTTTCCCCTCGAAGCTGCCCTCGAAAGTGACTTGGACATTATGGGGCCCTGGAGGTGGGGAGAGGGGAGGGAGGAGTGAATAGGCACTCAGGTAGCCTGACCCAAGCCCCTGTAGGGTTAATCCTCTCCCATCTCCACAGTAAAGTGAGCTGGGATGTCAGGGAAACCCAGCTCCACCACTAACTGTCTTCGAGTTCTTGGTTCCTCATCTGTAAAACAGACAATTCCCTTCAGGTCTGCGTTGCTGCAGGGGAATTGATAACACCAAGGACTCTAACAACCAAGCTCTTCAATCAGGAATGCGTATCAGAGCTAATTACTTTACCTCCTCTCACACAGCCAGGATGCAAAACTTTCATGAGCAGATATCACTTCCATCTCCATTTTACAAAGAAGGAGCCAGAGCCTGAGCCATCAGATAACCAGCCCAAGATCAAGATCACCCAGCCTTAGTCTCATGGCCGCACCACAAGGTAGATAGTGCCAGCACAGCACGCTGTGAAGAGTACAGCTGGAAAGGGGGCGGTGTTACTTTCTACACTCTGGGTACCTGGCTGCACAGAGCCCAGGCTCTGCTGGAAAACCCAGGGCTGTGAGGGCCACGTCAGTGGATGTTGAGGCCAATGAGCCAGAGCCCCCACCTGAGCTGGGCAGGCAGCTGAGGCAGTGCCTGACAGCAGGATTCAGAGACAAGGTGAGTGCCATTAAAGGGCCCCGCAGGCGGACAGCACCACACCCCTCATGTACAGATTCCTGCTTATGGAAATCAGAGGAAAAGAAAAAGACTGACTGCTAGGGAAAAGAAAACAGGGGAGCAGTGGCCAATTAATCTACTTTTCCACACCCAGAGAAATCATTTTTAATGTCTCCATTTCCCAGTAGATCTTGCTGCTTTAAAAAGTTCACTGAGAATGTACTGAATTCAACAGTGTGGGACCTGAGGAAGACTTGCCTACATAATCCTGGAATAGAACACCTGGAAACTCCCTCAGTGACAGCACCTTGCACCAGGGGCCGAGATGCCCCAAGCTCCCGCTCCTGCGGCCATCACTTCTTCCTCTCCCATATCCCTCCCTCCTCTAGTTTCCCAGCCCAGGCACCATGCCCCAGAGGTGGTGACTGAGGTGCTCTGGGGCAGGCTCTGCGCTGGCAGGTTTAAAGCTTCCCAGGTGAAGCTTGCTCCTAAAGATTGTGGCATCTTCTGGTGTGACACCCTCACACCAGAAGATTCTTCATTGATTATCTGAAATTCTCATCTAAAGGGGCCTCCTGTATTTTATCTGGCAATCGTAATCCTTTTCCCCTCTCCCCCTCTCTAAACTGTCAGCAAGTCTAGTGATACCTCCAGACTCTATATCAAGTCCCTCCTTGCTCCCCATTTCCCCCATTACCGCCCTCATCCAAGCCACCGCCATCTGGACTCTGGCACGGAGCCCAGCTTAGCCTCCCAGCTAGTTCACTCTCGTGAGACTGAGCGACCACAGCAATTGTGTAAAAGCACATAGGAGATCCTGTCAAACCTGTGCTGAAAACCCTTCGGCAGCTCTAACTGCACTTAGAATAAGACCGCAAATTAGGAGACTAATTGCCTCAAAACCCACACTCCTCTAACTGTGACCTCTGAGGCCCTGCAGGATCTGGCTGCTGCTCAGCCCCAACCTCATCTGGAGCCTCGCCCCTCTCATCCCAGCCCTGAAGCCGCCTTCCCAGGCAGCCCATCCTCTTAATGGGAGGGTGGCTTTCCTGCCTGGAGGCTTGTGCCCAGGCACGAAGTTTGCCTCCCTAAGTTTTTGCCAGGCTGGATTTCTTATTCTTTGGGTATTTTTAAACATCACTCAATTTGTGTTGGTGTTTATTTCCTTCATCATTTCATAATTTCATCAGTTTTATGTTTATGGCCCTATCCTAAGAGACACAAATATATCTGCAGACTGAAAGAGCCCCCATCCTCTTCTTCAGGCCTGTGGCCTGCTCAAGCCACCTCCCAAAACTAGGTAAGCCCCAAAGATCAAGGGGCTGGGAGTAGAATTTGCGCTGAGAACAACCAGGCTAAGTTTATCTCAGACAGCCAAGGCCTTGTGGTTCTCTCACGGAACATCAGATGTTGGGCTGAACTTCCCCCTTCCAGCCCCTCTCAGGTGGGGTCTGCGGTAGATTTAGGGGTTCTACTACTTCCTCAGTACCGGTTCCTCGGTGGAACGCGGGGCTGGTGGCTAAGACTGCTTGAGCGGCCCCTTCTCCAGATTCCAGGCGGTTTTTCTAACAGTAGTAATTAACAAGCAGCCAAAGCACCCCCTTCCGTCCCCTCGTCTGTCTCTCCCTGCACCCTGCCATTATCTTCTAACCTTGGGTAACTATGCTGGGGGAAACCTGAAGCCAGGAGGGCAGTCCTTGGCAGGTTTGGTAAATCCCCCTCTCCCCCCAATGGAGACAGAAGGCCGGCATCACTCATACAAGTGCTGCCTATGCCTGCCAGCACCATCCCAAGCTCAGGCAGGGGTTGCCCTCCAGCCGCTGAAGTCCACAAGCGCGCCCCCCCCACCCCCCCACCTAGGGCCAGGTTCCTAAAGGAAGGAGGGCAGGCTCTCCCCGCACGGTCTGTGATGCCGGCCGGACACCACCCGCCGCGCGCAGGGGCTGGATCTGGGCTCGCCATGCAGGGTGACGTGGGTGACATCCGGCGACCCCCCACCCCCCACCTCTGAGCTCGGAGCCCGTCTCCCTCTCACAGCCCGTCCCTCCCGAGCTCTTCCTGCTCCAGCCACTGCCCTGCACTTCCTTCGTCCCCGCCACGCCGCCGAAGGAAGTGCAGGGCTGTCTCCTCCCCGCAGAGAGGCCCACCGGTTCCGGAAGTTTCTGGCCAGAGCTGCCCCTCGGACCACCGACCTGGGAGGTGAAGTTCAAACACACGGCGGCCGGCGGTCTAGGTCTCCGGCCATCGCCCCCCCAAGTCACCGGGAGAGTGCCCCCCCCCCCCAGCACTTCCACCACCGGCGCAGGCAATCCCCTAGCGCAGCCTCCCATCCTCTGCACCCCCACACCCCCAAACCCTCACTCCCCCACCCCCCACCCCCACTCCCGCCACCCGACACGGGGACCCCAGTCCCCAAAGCTCCCCATCCTCTGCCCAGCAGGAGGGGAAGTGCGTCTTCCGCTCGGTCACCTTGGCCGTCACCGTGGGGCCTCGCTTGCGGACCCCCGAGGACCCCGAGGCCCCCGCGGAAAGCACCAGCATGCAGAGCCCCAGGCACAGCCCCAGGGGCGGCGGCAGCCGGGGGCCTGAACCCATGGCAGCGGCGGCGGCGGCGGCTCAGGCGCTCCTGCAGCTCCGGACCTGTGGCGGGACTCCCGGCGGCTGCGCTTGCGCGATCCTGGATAAGGGGGGGTGGGGGGTGGGGGGGACGTGTAGGGATGGGGCGGTCCGGGCAGCACCGGAACCCGGGGCGCGCTCCTCCCAAATTTGGTCTCGGTGTTTGAACAGGGACTCGCCCGGGCTCCTGCAGAGGGTGCGGCGGGAGCAGCGCCCCGGAGCCAGGCTTGGCTGGGGTTCAGGAGCGGAGGGGTGCGCTCAGCACCTCCAAAACTGACCGCGTGGCGCCTGTTAAACCCAGCACCAAGGCGAGGACGCAAAGGCTTCCTCCAGACTCCGGTCCGCGTGGCAATTTGTGCGCCGCTGGGTGTGTGTGTGTGTGGGGGGGGGGGGGCCGAGAGGGGTGACTCTGCAATCCAGTCCAGTCCGGGTCTCTGGCCTCAGCTGCCTTGGGGGAAGTCTCCGCAGCCTCTGCCAGCTTCCAACTTGGTATCAGAGCCCTGAGCCAGGTTTTGGACGCTCTCCCAACGTGGGACCCCTCGGTGGGTTAACTCGATTACACATGCTGAATTACCTCTCCTGGAGATGATTCCTTCTGGGGATGTAACTTTTTACAAATTTAAGAATAATGTTTAGGAAGATTATGTGATGACATGGGGGAATGCACAGGTCGCACAGAAATTCTGATCTCAACTCTGAAAATAGAGGAATTTTCTTAAACGGAAAGAAATGCACCGAAAACATTTACAGTAGCTATGGTGATAGAGTTATGGATTTTTGTTTTCCTTGTAATTTTCTGCTTTCCCAGATGTATTTTATAATCAAGTAAGTATTTTTAGATTTTATTGATTGATTTGAGAGAGAGAGAGATGGAGAGAGAGGACAGACATTGATTTGTTGCACTTATTTATGCATTCATAGGATGCTTCTTGTTTGTGCCCTGGCAGGGGTGGAGCATATACCTTGGTGTATGAGGAGAGTGCTATAATTAACTGAGCTAACCAGCCAGGGCTCAAGTAAGTAAGTATTTTATAATCAAGAAAATGTTATTTTAAAACAATGCTTTTTTGCCCTGGCCAGGTGGCTCACTCAGTTGGTTGGAGCATCCTCCCTCCCATATACCAAAAGGTTGCTGGTTAAATTCCCTGGGGAAGCAACCAATGGATGTTTCTCTCTCTCTGTATCTCTAAAAATCAATGAAAACATATTTTGGGGGTGAGGATTTTTTTAAAAAATATATTTTATTGATTTTTTCACAGAGAGGAAGAGAGAGGGGTAGAGAGTTAGAAACATCAATCGGCTGCCTCTTGCACACCCCCTACTGGGGATGTGCCCTCAACCAAGGTACATGCCCTCAACCAAGGTACATGCCCTTGTCAGGAATCGAACCGGGGACCTTTCAGTCCGCAAGCCAGTGCTCTATCCACTGAGCCAAACTGGTTTTGGCTGGGTGAGGATTTTTAAAACCCAATGAGTTTTGAATTATGACTTCAAAAAAACCTTTTTTTTTTTTTTTTTTTTAGAATAATAGCTCCAAAATTAACTACAACTTAGTAATAGTATTCTCTTGGCTTTCTTAGGAGCTGGTGTCATGACTTTCAAGCCAAGATTTTCCTCAGGTAAGCAGATAGGATTCCTATGTGTAAGAGTCCATCTAAAATTACATTGGACTTAGTCTATACAAAAGGAGTAACCTCAACGTGTGAGGGGTGGATAGCACACTTCTGAATTATTTTGATAATTCAATCCACTGAAGGATCTAATGTCTATCTTCATGGCCTCAAACCCCAACAAAGAAAGGGTCCCCCCTTTGTAGTAAGCTGAGAGTGTCTGAGCACTTACCCCTCTGAGTGACTGTACACATTTATTGTAATTGTTTTTGTCTGTCCTATCATAGTTCAATAATAGCTCCAAAAGCAGAGAGCACACCTGTATTTATTCCTTTGGATGGCCCAGATTTAGTAAAATGCCTGATGTATAGTGATTTCTAGATAAGTATTTGTTGAATGAATGTACATGTCTAACTAATTTAATGTGTTTTAATTGGGAAGGTTAATTTAAAAAAATGAAAGTGCACAAAATGTAAATGTACATACCAGTGAATACAAATAGAACCCTGCTTAAGAAATGAAATATTTGTCAGCTCTTTAGAAAGTTTTCTTGTACTTTTCCCAATTACTAGCACTTTCTTTTCCCCAAATTAAATGCAATAATAACTTACTACCCTATCATTTAGTTTTAACTTTATCCAAATGGAATCATTTGCTCAAATTTATGTTTGTAAAATTTATAGTTTGGGTTTTTTTGTGTGTGGATAACTTTTGGTCCATCAATTTCCCTCCCATATGACTATCCAGTTGTCCCAGCACAAGCTTCTTTCCTCACTGCTCTGTAAAGCTCCTTCTTCTATGGAACAAGTGTCCGTACATGTGTGGGTCTCTGCGCCCTCTATTCTGTATCACTGACTTAGTTGTCTATCTTTGTGCCAATACCACATTGTTTTAATGAAATAGATTTATAATAACTATATTTATTTATTTAAGTATATTTTTTTATTGATTTCAGAGAGGAAGGGGGAGAGAGAGAGAGAGACAGAGAGAGAGAGACAGAGAGAGACAGAGAGAGAGAGAGAGAGAGAGAGAGAGAGGGATCAATGATGAGAGAAAAACCACTGATTGGCTGCTCTTGAATACCCCCTATTCGGGATGGAGCCCGCAACCCTGGCAGGTGCCCTTGACCAGAATCAAATGCAGGATGATTCAGTCCACAGGCTGGCTCTCTATCCACTAAGCCAAACCGGCGAGGGCATATATTAACTCTTTATATTTAATGGTACAGGTCCTCTCACTTTGTTCAACAGGTTCTTGGCTGTTCTTGACTTTCTCTACAAACTTGAGAATCAGCTTGTTACTTTCCATAAATTGGGATTTTGATTTTAATTGCATTATATCTATAGATTATTTTTGAAAGATAGCGTATTTGTGATATTGATTGAGTCTTCCAATTTATGAACATGAAATATTCCTCCATTTTCTTGGGTTTTCTTTAATTTCTCAAAAATTTTATAGTTGTCAGCCTAGAGGTCTTGCACATATTTCATTAGAATGATTTCTAGGTGTTTGATTTTTATAAATTATTTCTTTTTTAAATATTCTACTGTCTGTTGCTATTATAGTAAAATTAATTTTATATTTAATCTTGAATAGATAAACTTTACTAAAAACTTATTCTGAGAATTTATCTGTTTATTATTTGGAAGTTCTGCATAGCCAACTATACCTTCTATGAATAAAAATTTCTATTTCTTCCTTCCTAATCTTTATATCTTTTACTTCTTTTGCTTGTCTTATTGCATTGGTTAGGACCTTTAGTACAAAAGGAAGTGACAATAGCGGGAGTCGTTGTTTTGTGGGTTGTTTTGTCCTCCAAAAGGTATATTGAAGTCCTAAACCTCAGGATCTGTGAGTGTGGTCCTATTTGGTAGGAAGTGTATAAGAAAAATGTTTAAACTATGTACATTAACATTTGTTGCATCTAAATCAATGGCCTGAGAGTGTGGCATGAGAGACTCAGCTCACTGAGAAGCATTCCAGAAGGGAAATCTAACCTTGAGTTCCTTCTAGAGACATAGCACCTGGCATACAATATTCCCTTTGCACCTGTGAGGTAGGTATTGTTAGAAACAGATAGAACTGAGGAGTAAAAATTCATCTGAAATTTTAACAGACATGCTTCTATGAAATTCAATTAGGATGGAAATTTTACAAACAGTTAACAAAATGAATGGTCAAAATGGTTAATTTAGGGGACATGGAAGCATAGGTAGAATTGAGTATGATAATTGGGAAGTGATGAGAAATGGCAAGTAAGTATATGATTCTTGTATGGTGAAACAAGAGATTGCTTAAACATTGATTATATTCCAAAAATTAGGAAAAATCTATTTATGCAAGGGAGTCTGGCTCTACAAAACCCTGAGGATTCCTACTTCATACTGCATTGATCTAAATGTGGATGTGTCTACCTTAACAGGTCAGGCAACTTTAAAAAAAAATTCTTTGGAGACAATATGTTACTAAATTGATCTGTATTTTTATGTTCTCTCCTTGTCATTGTTATTTACTATTCACCAACACTGCCAAGTTTTAAAGTCTTGGTGTAAATGTTTCTAAGGCTTTGCTGATAGATGTGTTTTATCTAACAGTTATGGACTCCATCGACATGCAGCACTAAAACACAAAAAGAAACTAAAGAGATTTATCAGCATATGAAATGCCCTCACCAGAGACATTTCAAAATGTCTAAAAGTTGAAATAATAAATCCAAAGTTGAACATTTGTGAAGTTACTAGGAGCATATTTATCTACTGCAAATCATGTTTTGTGGGACTGAGTCATGCCATATATTATGCTTAATTTATAAGGTGAAATGCAGCCCTAGCTGGTTTGGCTCAGTGGATAGAGCATTGGCCTATGGACAGAAGGGTCCCAGGTTTTATTCTAGTCAAGGGCAGATGCCTGGGTTGCGGACTTGATCTCCAGTAGGGGGCAATCAGGAGGCAGCCGAGCAATGATTCTCATCATTGATGTTTCTATTTCTCTCCCTTCCTCTCTGAAATCAATAAAAAAATATTTTTAAAAAGGTGAAATTCAAATTGATTCTCACTTATTGGTAAGGACTTCTCATTGTATTTAAGGAAACCCTACTCCTATAGAAGAGAGAAATTCCACTTTAAATACTTCTCTGACATTTGCATTCTTGGTTATAGAAATTGCCTGAATGATTTTTCTTTAAAAATTGGAAACTTGGGAAATCTCAAATTGTTAGTATTTTTAAGTGACAGTAAAAGACTTCCAGCATTACTGTTTTTACAAAAACATCTAATTCTGAGTCCAGCTGCTGGTAGTCTAGAGGGAAATTTTTTCTTGACTGCAACTTGAGATATAATTAGCATCCTCACAAATAAACACCCCCCCCCCACACACACACATACACACAAAGTTGGCCAAGTCGATTGGTGGCATCTATCTCCTCATTAAAACATCAGCTTGACAAAACCCATGTGTGACTCTGTTTCAGAAAGTTCCAGGTCTTCTAAACATTGGCATTCTTATCATTTTGTGCATTGGGTGCTGGCCGCGGGCTGACAGTGCCTGTGTGGATTTCTCCTTGAATATCTTTTCTCCATCAACTGATAAGCCAGTCGCTCCTAGGAATTCTGGTCACAGCACTGCTTAGGAAAGAAAGCCGATAGCACATATTTGAAATTGTTTCAGGAAACATTCCTCCTTTTCTTGTGGTTTTTGTTTGTTTGCTTGTTTTTGTTTGCTTGCTTGCTTGCTTGCTTGTTTTTCCTTTTTAAAGGGAAGAGGAAAGGCCACTGAGCGCTTTCAGGTTGAGATGGTTGGGGCACCAGGGTGGCCAGTTAACATGGAGAGAAAAGACACTGCTACTATAAACAGAACCTGCGTCCACTGTCCTGGGGCTAATTCGTGGCCATAAAATTAAAGTCAAATATAAGATAAACGGCAAGCCACTGCTTTCATGTGAGTCTACACAAACAAGCTATTGCATGATTTTAGGAGGGAAAACCAAATTCTTGTTTCTTAAACATGTAGTTCTAAGTATGGGCCTATTATGACAAGTAGTTTTTAGCAAATTAATTTTTCCTGTATGTATTTATTTTAATAAAAAGGTTAAAATTCAGGAAAATAAGAGGGAAAATTTTTCAAAGTCCTCATTCCCCACAGACAATGCTGCTAATATTTTGGTGTTTTTTCCTTTCAGCTGTTTGGTTATTCTGTTCATCTAACTTTGTATTTTATTTTTTCATTCAATTCAAATAACATAATACCCTAGGATGTCTTCTATGATAATATGTAAGTTATGATTTAAGACGTATTTTTGGAAGGTGTAAGATGATTTACAGAAATGAAAAAGCATGTCTTTCCTATAGCAACAACAAAATTGTTCAAAAGAAAAGATATTCAGAACTTGTAAATTGCAAACAGTAGTTTTCAAATCTAACAACCAAACAACCAACCAACCAACAAATTCTACCTTTGTTGAATTTGCAAAGGTAGCAGGGGGAAGGAGAAAGAATCCTAGCTGGGCAGGAAGGGGCCTGGAGACTCACTGGGGTCTCAGGCTGCACTCTTAGTCCCTGGCCTGTTTTCAGAGCCATGCCAGCTCCTTGTTCACCTGAGCACACCTCCTCTGCTAGACCGCCAGGCCCCAGGAATGTGGCAGGGGGCTGGGCAGAAACGCCTGGCCCATCGACCGTGCTTCTAGAATCTGTTGATATCAGCACAGCAAGGGCTTTAATCCAGCTTCTAACACATAAGAATGCTGAGGTCTAGGGAAGGGAAATAACTCCATGTGTCACCAGCTGCAAATCCCTCCCCCAGCGTCACAGCTGCTCCACGCCCCAGGCTACCAGCAAAGGACTGCCCAGCAGTGCTGGCCACACTTGGCCCGTTTTCAAGCATAAGCCCAGATGGAAGTTTTTACATAGAAAGAAGGATTTTTTTCCCCTCTCTCTTCCTACCGAGGACACATCATACGCTGATTTGAATGGTTCTGAAAAGTCTCTAAGGTTTCCACTCAGTGAGAAGCATGCCAGGGAAACTTGAAAACTATGTTTTCAATAACAGGACCCAAGAAAAGTCCTTCAAGGCTTGATGTGAAGTTTGGAATTCTAACTCTTGTGGTTTGAAGGGGCATTCTAAAGGTGCTATTTTGTTATAAGTGGATAACTTTTAAGCTTCAGTTGAAAAAATAGCCAAAACCGGTTTGGCTCAGTGGATAGAGTGTCAGTCTGCGGACTGAAAGGTCCCAGGTTCGATTCCGGTCAAGGGCATGTACCTTGGTTGTGGGCACATCTCCAGTGGGGGTGTGCAAGAGGCAGCTGATCGATGATTCTCTCTCATTGATGTTTCTAACTCTATCCCTCTCTCTTCCTCTCTGTGAAAAGTCAATAAAATATATTTTAAAAAAAAGAAAGAAAGAAAGAAAAAATACCAAGGAGGTTATTAATTCCACCAGAGGTTACTAAAATGACTGCCTTAAGCTACAGTTGCTGCAAAAATACTTTTTCTGAACTAAAAAAGAACAAAACACCCACACAAAACAAAACAAAACCAACAGTGAGAAATTATTAGTCATAATGATGGTTGTGTTTGCCTTGTTAAGAAGATGGGTATTCAGTGTGGATTTTCTGTATAATCACTGAATGCTTAATTATATCAGTTCTGAATTTTCCCGTGTATGGTAAATTGTTTCATGACCACACTACCCCTCTGCCCCCACCCCAGTGTGCACTCTCTTATAAAGTGACTTTG